GGGGATGCCGCTACCCTGTCCCCCGGCCAGCAGCGCTCAGAGCCCCCACCCCCGCTGCAGACAACGAGGATGTGGGTTCACCTGGCTCATTTTTTTAGGGGTGGGGGTGTATGCTTATGAAGCTGCCCCGTCTCGCTGAGCAGAGCGGGACAGACCCGCGTTATTAATGCCCCAGAGCTCTCCCTGGAAACTGAGGAGCTGTCAAAGCCAGCAGAGATCAGGGGATCCAAGTACGAGGATCCCTGCGCTCGCGGATAAAGGTGTTGCGTCTGTTCTGGGGAAGATATTGAAATTTTAATCTTTAGGGTCACGTGACTCATTAAATAATTAATGCAGATAGTCAGGAATGGATCTGTGGCCGTCAGTCCTCACTAGGAGTGATTCTCTCAGAAGTGAAACTCAACTCCTTATTACTGGAGTTTCTTTTTCTTTCCTTTTTTTTTTTTTTTTCCCCTTTAAAAAAACCCCCCTGATTCTAAACTTCTTAAGCAAGCAGTAGGGTCTGTGTTGGTAAGTAGGTAGTGTGTATTTCTAGCTTGATGACTTTAATTGTTTGTGCTTGCTTTGTCTACTGAGCATTTACTTAACAAGTTTAATATTTAGAAATGTTAAATCTTTGTTTTAGCTGCCTTGTGGTCACATTACGGCTTTTGGTGATTAAGTGTTACCGAGGCAAACACATTTGATAATGTTCTGATTCACACTGTGGAAGGCTGGGTGCCACGGTGCAGGAGGACCTGCTTTGTTCAATTTTCCTGGCGTTAATAAATCACCGGCTCCTAATGCAGGGCCAAAAAAGCAATGGAAAGGCAGTGAGTGCTGTAAAGGAAAAGTCATAGGCGAATTTCTCTATGACTCATTAGTCTGAACGATTTATGTACGAACTATAAGTGCCGCAATGAATATTAGACTTTGGGATAACAACAAATTAAAAAAAAAAATGTCATAGCGTTTGTAGAGTGCTTTATTGCTACTTAGCAACTCTTTCAAGAAGCAGCATAAAGGACCGTGGCAGTGTAAAATATGGTGGCGTGACTTAATAGTTCCAAAATAAATAACTGAATGTCGCTGGCACGGTTTTCAGATACACGCTCCATATTTAACACGAGTGGGGCAATCCGGTCACGACACGCTTGATCGATGATTATTGCCGTTCGTAACACGACTATTGATTAGAGATCAAAAGGGCTAAGGTATGAGTTTGAGCCTAAAATATGCCAGGGGGTTCCCTCTGTGCTGGAGCCGAGCGGGGCGAAAGGTAGAGCTATGAAGAACCCCGGGCAGCAGCGCCCGGGCTCCGCCGTGGCAGATTGAGCTTCCAGTTTTCTTTCGTGTTTGCCAGTAGATTTCAACAGTCAGCGCTCTCAAATTTATGAGACGGCAATAAACAGCTTAGTAGGCTATTATTGCATGATTTTATGTAGACTGGAGTTCTACACCAAATTTAAAATTATTAGCGCAATTATGGAACTAGTAAATTGCTAAAGCAAAGTCTCTGCTCGAAAAGTTCTCCCAAGGCAGACTTAATATTTCCAGGGCGCGGATGACACCCTTCCTCAAGAACTGCGTTATTTAATTATTAGCGTTTACATTTACTGACAATTTTAAGATGCGTTAGATGGCTTTTATTAGCGAGAATGAATACGGGGGGTACATTATTACATCTGACAAATTCATATGTAAACGTGATTCAGTAAGTGGCATGCGAATAATCTGACTATTGTCTTTTTGGTTTGTGCAATATTGTTTATTTTAGGGGAAGAGGAGTCGTCCAGTTTTTTCCCCCTCCTTCAATGCCTTTCAGTGTGGTGTGTGTTTTGGGTTTTTTTTTTTCTTTTTTTAAAAAAGGGGGCTTTGGGCCCGATCCCTCTTCAGTGAGGTCAATTGTTAGTCTCTTATTGGGCTAGAGGTGACAGGATCGGGCCCCGGGTAACCCTTTGAATAAAAGCCCAGCCACAATACGCGCCGCATTTCAACTGGAACCCTTTCCGTGTTTTATTCGGCGGAGATGAACACCACGAGTTGTGTTTAATGTCTGTTCTTGATTAAATGATCCTAAACAAAGGTTTCCCAGAGGAAAATAAAGCAGACATTCATGTAACAAGAGTTTGGAATGACAATATTTCCAAACACTTGGAGACAGAAGGCATAGCTGTCTACGGGGAGGGAAAAAAAAAAAAAAAAACAACCAACAAAACAAAACCCAAACCAAAACCCCAAAGCAAAATCCCAACGAG